GTGCTTTGCTGGCTGGGTGGGTGGTGGGGGCAATGCTTCATAGGAGAGGTGTGGCGCAGGTGTGGGCCTATAAAATGGGTTGACCCCACCCCTGGACATGCAATAAACGTATGATAAAGTGTGTCTTTGGGATTTGCCTTGTTGGGGAGCCCTGCTACATCCTGGAACTGTGCTGTGGCATGCTGCTCCTGTCCTTCAAGGCTGCTAGGGAGGGCACCTGGGCTTCATTGTGGCACGTGTGCTTTGCTGGCTGGGTGGGTGGTGGGGGCAATGCATTTCATAGGAGAGGTGTGGCACAGGTGTGGGCCTAGAGAGTGGGTTGACCCCACCCCTGGCATGCAATATAAGTGTGTGTTTGGGATTATGCTTGTTGGGGAGCCCTGCTACATCCTGGAACTGCTGTGGCATGCTGCAACTGTCCTGGAGGGCTTTCAGGAAGCGCACCTAAAGCATCCTAAAGCTTCACTTTAGCACTTCTATGTCTGCTTTGCTGGGCGGGTTGTGGGAGCAAATCATTGCATAGGACAGGTGTTGGATGGTGTTGGCGTATAAAATGGTTTGCCACATGCCTCTGTGTGCGCCTTGCAGAGTGATTGGTTTTTTGAACAGACATCTGAGGGCAGCATGTTGAGCGTACATTTAGTGTCATTGAGTCAAGTTTTGGAGGTCTGGTCTAGTGAGAATATAGGATTTCAGCTTTGGTGGGGTCACACCAATTTATGTCCCTTTGCTGGTGGGCTTCACCATTTTATAGCTATAAAATCTGTGGCAGGACCCCCTACCCAGAATTGACACGGGGATTATATATTGTTTTGGTTCGCTTGGTTCAGTTTAGCCTAATGCTTAAAAGGGAATTGTGGACACAACCAAGGCCTTGCGCAAAGAAGCCGTGGCAGCTGCAGGTGGGCACCGGGTGGGGGTTTATCGGAATTCATGTTTTTTGTGCTATTTTGCCGAATCTGTTCTGATTTGGTATGTGGCAGCGGTTTTGACCACACAAACTTCCGCTTTGCGAGTAGCGGCCATTGTTGGACAATCCTCGTCCAAAATGTTTGGCTCAGATGTAGGGTGTCGTTCGGTGCTGCGAATATGACACGCGCGGCCAGGCAGCAAACAGGAAAACAAATACACGAGTTACTCAGAGGGTCACCTTCAAAACGGTTTTGGTTTAAAACATTGTTTTGTTTATTCTTTTTTTGCTGGGGCTGAGGTAAGGATGGTGAGGAACCCGCTGGCACGGGGCTTCCGTGTAGGGCACCGAGACTGACATGCACAAGCAACTGCCGCCACATGCCGTTATACTACCTTGGAACCGAATGAGAGCGGGCTATCGGTTTGCACGCGAAAGTTGGAAAGTCCAACTGTTCATGAGGACTTTGTAAAAACCTTGTGATTGGCTGTGTATTAAGGTCGGCGCTGCGCTTGCTCTTGCTTTTGTTTGCCCGCTTCTTTGGGAGGCTTCTTGTGATTGGTGAGCCTTTTGCTTCACGAAGAAACCACCGTGTTTACATATTTCAGGTCAGCTTCGTGGCTCCCAGTCCGACTCGCGCAACCCGCGCTTCGTTTGGAACGCCCTTCTTCGACCGTCCTTCCCGCAGCGCCGGCGCTTCTCGCGTCGGCGCAAGCCGCGCCGTTCGCCCCGCTTGCCGGGCTTCGGGCGGCAACCTTTCATCCTCTCAGGTGCGGACGAGACGGGACCGACGGGACGGAAGCAACTCACGCCCAAGTCCAACAAATTTGGAACCTATCTAAAGAGTAGCAGGCCTGCTTTCCGATGTTTCCCATGGCAGCGCTTTGGCCAGGTGTACTTTGTGGGGATTGGCTGGTATTTGATGCACTTTGTTCGGGCCTCATTTGGAGCAGAGCTTTCGCTTGGTCGGGGAACCGCAGTGTTGAGAATCGTGCTTTGAGGTGGTAAGCATTGGAAATGACAGCATCATGAAGTTTTTAGGAGTTTGGCACTTGGATGTTTTTGAAATGACGTTTGCGGGAAGTTGATTTTTGGGAGCGCCTGAGGAGAACTTGCCACCGTTTCAGATCGTTTTCTTGCGCTTTTCGGCGGCTGCATTGGTGCTTCTGCCCATCCTCGTGTTCCAGGGCCGAAGCGGCTCGGCATAGCCGCATAGCTCGGCGCCGCGCTCTTTCAGCGCTCTGAGCAACTCTTTCTTTGTGTCAGGTGCCTTCAAATCTGCTAGGCTGGGTGCGGGTGCGGATGTTTTCCGGTCCCCTTTGTTGCAAGTGCTGCAACAGTTTCTCGTTCGCTATCACGGCCAGGCTCTCGATGCATGCTGCAAGAGGTGTTTTGCTGGCGCTAGGCATTGGACTGCTGGGATCCCGGGAATGAGTGTTCGTTCGGGACGGGTTCGGGACGATGGCGTGTCGGCGTGTCGCAACGACTGTCGCAAGCGACGAGGTGGTGCTACGGCCTGAGCTTGATGCCCTTTGCCTCCTGCGTTCGTGGCCAAGAGACGAGAGAAAGAAATTGTTCAAACCCCCGTCGACCCGAGTCGAGGAAAGGAAACGAAGAAGGGACTCACAAACGGCTCTTTGTGATGTCTACTTTGGCTGGGCTCAAAAGCGAACAACAAAGAAACCTTAAACCAGGTCGGACCACTCAACAAGAAAGATGCAATCAAAAAGATGTGGACATGTTCCTTGTTTTGACTTATGTTCGTTTGTTCTTTCATTTGTTCGTGTGGGGGTTGGGTTCCGAGTTCCGGTAGACGCCCTTTCTTTGCCCACTCGTTTAGTCATTTTTATACAGCTTGAGCCTCAGCGGTGCAGCAATGGCATATTCTCGTGGCGTGAGCCGTGGGTACCTTTGGCCTGGGCTTTTCTGTCTTCTTGGAACTTGGGTCGGGCTCCAAGAACGAAGGGGACGAAAGACACGGATGTGTACAATGTTTAGCTTTATGTGCAGCCTGATGTTGTGAGTTGTGACTGTGTCACCAACGTCAGGCCTCGTTTTGGTCATTCTGCGGGATCCAAGCCGGCAAGCTGGCGCCCCGTTTGGCACGCAGCGTGAGGAAAAGACTGGACACACGAGGGATGAGATGACGAGAATGAAACATAGTGTGAGATTTTTATAAAACAAATTATGGGTGTTTTGCCCGGATTCGTGCCAGCCGGTGTCATGAAAATCCGGAGACCCTTTCCTTGTTGGGGCAACGCTACAGCAGCCGGCTCACATGTTGCGACCTCCATGCGCGGCATGTCCTGCTCAGTGAAGTGTGGTTCCCCTCTCACTGGTTATGGTTTGCTGGTCGCGAGCGCTCATCCCTTGTTTCTCTCTCGAGGTCGGTGGTTTGACATGGCTTGCTTCCACGCCAAGCTCGGTTGCAGCGAGGCCAACTAGCCTTGCAAGAGTCTCTCGAGCAGAAGCAAGCGGCCCCGCCCTTGAGAGCAAGCCAGATGCCCATTTCCGCCCTGGCGGCAGGAGTGGCAAGTTTTGCAAAGATGATGGGATCCCCTCCGAAGACAAAGCAGTTGGGTCAAGTTCCTCCTGCTCGCCCTATGTTGACTTCTGGAGTGGATGGCAATGTCAGGCCTCAGGAGTTTGCCGAAGAGGCCAGTCCAGCTGACTTTGGTGGCCACCAAATGCAACAAAATGGCGATCCACTGCTCGACGCGCAGGCATCCTCATCCAGCGGATCGGTCGCGAAAAGCTGCAAAGAGAGTTCGCGACCAAGTCGGGAAGTTTCTATCTTGCTGTGCTGCAAAATGCTGCGAAGAGGCTGAAGCCGGCCAATCCCCGGCCTTTGGCCATAGAGGATATTGCCGCGACCGACTTCTCGATGATTCATTACTGGGAACGATTCGGAGGCTTCGGGCAATACAAAGAACTGGGTTGATCCAGTATGCCCTTGCTCACACAAGCGATGCGCTTGTCCATTCGGACCTCAATGAGCGAGGGATTATCTTGCTCTCCTATGGTGGGAGTAGATCAGGCCAAGCTGGACGGCAACAGGTGGGAGCTCGCAGGAAGAACCTCCTTCTCAACTATGGAGCCATCGGAACCAAAGCTTCGATCCTTGCGCCAAGAGCTTTTCATCCCTGGCCCCTCAAAACTGGACTACGGTTGCTTTGGCCTGTTCCATACATTCAACGAAGCGGCTCGGGGTCACTCACCCCAAAGCAGGCGGGCAGCAGGGTCAAGTCCCACCTGCTCCTGGCCCGAAGAAGAAAGGCCGCTCCCCAAAGGCAAAAGCTGCCGATCAGGAGAATGTGACGCCCTAGCTCCGGCCCCTACAATTGACAGTAATTCCCTGCCTGGTACCTCTCTTGGTTGCAGAGCGGATCTCCGCTGTTTCCGGTTGGGGGCGCCAAGAGAGGGGAAAGGAGGGAGAGGACTTTCTGTCAGACCTGCTCCTCCAGTGTCTCAGATCCCAGATGTCAGGGGCGCCGACCACGAACAGACATATGAGCTTTGCAAGGTATGGGATGTGAACACCTCCTCTGTCTTGTCCCTCAAAAGCTTGGGCCATCTCCAGCTGAGGCCCATTTGCGCACCAAGGTGTTTGGGAACTACAAGAATTCGAAGGTCGACCGCCAAATCGGAGATCGCCGTGGCAGAAATTTTGTTGAAGGAAAGACCCTTGATGGACCTTCCCATGAGATTCCAAATGCTACTGCTCTTTTGCAGCTGGAGACAAAGCGTTTTGAGGAAGTCCTCGTTGGGGCGGTCGCTGGTCGTCGAGACCATCAATTCTCTGTCTCTACGAAGCGTGCGGCCACTAATACCGTGTTCCCACCTTGCAAGCTCCGGGACTTCAAGAACACCAACGCATACAAGCAGTTTATTGTTGATTTTGGTGAGAAGAAGGCCCGAGATAGAGAGGTTGAGGGCGATTTTTTTGGAGTCCCCAAGCCTTTGTTGGTCCAGTGTGATGATGATACTCCTGTCTACGCGGCCTTTGCAGCGCTTTTCCAAGGTGACCATCTTGGAGTGGAGTTTGCGTGTTGTGCTCATGCCAAAATGCTTGAAGATGCAGGCTGCCATCCGGCTGAGAACAGGCTCTGTGCTTCTCAAGCTATTGCGCGTAACAAGCCTGTGACAGGCCTTGTGATCGATGATTACTTTGCTCTATCAGCAGAGGACATTGCCTTTGCCAGAGAGGCGACGCCTATGCAGGCCACAGCTTGTCCAAGGGCTCCCTGACCACAGCGACGGATGCCTATGCTAAAGAAGGCGTTGTTGGGTCTGACGACAAGGAGATCTCAGATGCCCTGGTCTACAAGGTAATTGGAACAGAGGTCAGCTCATCTGAGCAGATGGCTACCTCAAATGCCTTCCATCCTTGCTGGGATCTTGGATTTCTGCGCTTCTATATAGGAGACCAATGATGGCCCACATCAACAAGCTCTACCAGGTCATTGATCATGATAGCTTGGATTCGGAGTATCCCAAGATGCGGCCATTGAACAGAGGTGCAGCAGAAGAAACGCTAATTTTGGACTGTGTCAGGCCTTTGGCGGCCTCCAACATCAGGGTCTATGCCTCTGACGCTTCAACGTTGAAAGGAGGCTTGGTGGCTACTGAAGTTGGGAGCGGCTGTCAAGTGCACTTTGGAGGCCAGAAGAGGCAAAAAATCACAAATTGCAAAGCCGCGCGTATGCCCTTCACAGAATCAATTATCCTTTTCGCGGAAGAAGAGGGCGCCCATGGTCTTGTGAGAAGGAAGAGGTCTCTCGTCCCCTTGGCCTCGACTATGACTTTATTGAGTTGCGTGGAACAGCAGGGTGTTGTCACTGCTGAGCTTGTCAAACTTGGTTTGAGGTGCGGCCCTGTATTCAGCCGTGTTGTTCATGGCAATTGCATGGCCTTCTCACGCGGGGGTCTCTTGTTGGTTGCAAGCTCAGGAGGTTCACCTTGCTCCCTACATCAGAAGGAGTTCTGCTTCCTCACGAATTCTTTCTCCCCAATTTTGGCGAAGAAATGCTCTTAGGAACGAGGGAAAGTTCAGAAAGCCAAGCGCCACTTACTGCCATGGCCTTGGTGTTGCGCTTGCAAGGGCCTTCGCCGGGCATATTCTGCTATCGCAGAAGACATTGCTTTGGAGGGCCCTGAGCGCAGTGGATTGGAAGACATTCTTACAAATGAGGTCCTTCTTCAGTCAAGATGGAAGGTTGTCTCAAACTGGAAGTGGCGACGATCTACATTGATATACTTGAGGCAACTGCTGCGTGGAGAGCTCATGAGTCTGAGGCTATCAGACTGTCAGAGGTGGTGACTTGCGTTTCGTTGACCTCATTGACTCAAATGTTGCCCTATGTGCTTTGGTCAGAGGTAGGAGCTCCTCGCTTGCCTATGGGCTCTAATATGCTCCTACCCGGCTGAATCCGGCAGATCACCCTGAGTTGAACGACCTTGCCATGTGGACCTTGCCATGTGGACCGACGAGGAGCTTCGATGGCTGGCCTCTATCTCAAGACTCCGGAGGTGGATTCTGTCTAGGCTTATGTCCTTCTCGGAGATTTGGACAAGGTGAACAGCATGCTCACCAAGTACGGCCGTTTCCTTTTCTCGAGTGGGAACTTGGTCAGCGTGAAGATGCCCATCCTTCGAAGGTCCCTACAACAAGCGTGTGACCTTTGCGCAATGTGGACATCCTTTGAGCCGCCAGTCGAGCACCACAAGGCTATGCCTTTTCAGGTGCTCTTGGGAGTACTGGCTACGGCTGGTTTGGGGATGGCTGCGCGAAGCTGCCATCTTGACAGCATGGATTGGTGTGGGACACCTTAGACCAGACGAGAGGATCTGCCCTGGTTCCCCGTCCACTCTGACGCATCGCCTGGACAAGATCTTGGCCAAGACACTGAACCAGCAGAAGCCATTAACTTGGCATCGTTCAGACCTGGAGGCGCGACGCGCCTCATTGGTCTTACAAAATCGCAATATTGCTCCAGCGGCGCGGGAGATGGCTATCGCTGAAAGTCATGAGTATATCTTCAAGCGGCAACATTGATGACGCACATTTCAGAGCATGCCAGATCCACCATCCTCACCGCGATGGAAGCTTTTCCGCTGGTCCTGCAGACCGGTGCAATATTTTTTGAGAATGGTTTCCCTGTAAAGACGTGGAACCTTCTTTTGAAGCAACAAGGCCTCGGTGTCCCACGCAGGGACCAGATGGGCTAGACGGGTCACGACAGCTTGAAAAGAGCTAGACCCACCAGCACACTAACCATACATGCTGGTGGAAAAAGAAATGGCCTGAGCTTCCCTATATAACTTTTTCTAGCTGGCCAAGGCTTTCTTCGT